GGGTGGCCATGTAGTCTCTCTGGTGGTGGGTCTTTCCCGGTGTGGAAAACTTGCCTCTCGAGCACCCCTGCTTGCCTGCCTCACCACTCACCCCTGAGCTGATCAGGCCTGAAGGGCTCAGGCTCTCGCCGGGTCAGGTCTGACAATTCCTTGCTGCTTCTGAACTGTCTCTCTCTCCACCTGCCACTCAGTCCGGTTCCTCAACTCTGCCTTTGATGTTCAAGGCTCCCAAATTGCCGTATATAATCTATTCACGTGTTTTTTCAGATCTTTGCTGTAAGAGGGTCCACCAGAAGCGTCTGACTACTCCACCATCTTGGCCCCGCCTCCCTGTTTTATTATCTTTTCTGTAGGGCTTTGACTTCCTTGTATAATCAGGGAGAATAAAAGAACTTATGAAATTACTTTCCCATTCCTTTTTAGACAAACTTATGTGATTAATGATTGTGTGCTGAGTCTTAATTTTTTCTTAAGTACCCTTTTGCTGAGCAAACTTTTAATGTCTTCTATGTACAGTGAAGCAGTGAAATAGATGTAGACCAGTAGGAGGTAAGAAATATTTGTACTAATACCTGTTACACCTGGGAGAGCATCTTCAGAGATGTATGTAAAATACTGTGGTGGTTTCAGTGCTAGGAGCAATCATGTCATCAGGGGGTGCTGTCATGGAGGAGGAGGCATTGGAACTGGTCCTTGAAGAACAGAGCAGATTTTGTTTGGTGGAGGTGGAGGTGAAATAGGTATGTCCCAGGCAGAGAGAAAGTGAGCAGGTGTGAAAGAACACGGAGTATTTAGAGAATAATGCGTAACCCTCTGTTAAACTAGCATTCTTAAATACGACAAATTAAACCAGAATGGTCACAGAAGATCCTGTTAGGTGATCTTTGCAGCTCAATCCCTTTTGAACTGTTGCTTGGTAGACCTGGTTGTTGTTAGTTGCCATTGATTTGATTCCGGCTCATGGCAGCCCCATGTGTGCAGGGTAGAACTGCTCCATATGGTTTTCAAGGCTGTGACTTTTCGGAAGCAGATCGCCAGGCCTATGTCTCCCAGGGCGCCTCTGGGTGGGTTCATACAGCCAGCTTTTCAGCTAGTAGTCAAGTGCTTACCATTTGTGCCACTCAGGAACTCCTGGTAGACCTTAGGCCTGCAATAATTAAAAACAAATACTGTTGAGGCTCCCTGCCTATTTCTGAATATCCACTGTCCTTTCTTGACACAGACTGGTTAATAACTTTCCTTTTATAAAATAATAGCTTGGAGCAGGGCAAAGAGTAAGAGGCCAAAGAACCTGCTTTTAGTTCTAACTTGAGCACTAATGGGCACTGTGGCCTCAGGCAAGGCATTTTCCTTCCCTGCCCTACAAACTCCTTATGAGCAAAATGAGAGTAGTAAGGTCTGTCCATACTTTCTTCATAGGATTTTTCTGAGCATCAAGTGAGATCATGGATGTGACTGCTTTGTTAAATTATAAAACATTTTGTCAGTGTGAACAGGTCTGGTTCATATTGGTTGCTACAGAGATAACTTTGGATTGCACAGTTGAAGTGACCCAGATGTTTTGGCTAGATGTTCAGTTTTTGAAATCAGCTTTGAATTATTTTTGTCGAGCAACCTAAATGTTCAATGAATGGAAATGCAAAGTAGCTGATATATCTCTGACGAATATTATGCAGCCAATAAAACAGATGTTAAGAGGATTTTTAATGGAGAATGAAGAAGACTCATGATTACAACATGTTATGTTAAAACAAGACCAAACTGCACAGAAAGGTACCGGGAGGAAAATGTACGGAGTAGTGGTCTCTAGATGGTGGTAATGATGGATGATTTTTTTTTTTCTTTCTACTTAAGGGCCTTTAATGTCCTCTTCTAAAAAGCAGGATTACTTTAGAAGAGGAAGTGGAGGCTCAGTTAAGTTAATGATAATAATTGCAAACAAATCTTTATTTCTAGTCCAAACCATTCTTGTGACCTCCAGGCTGCATAGCTGACTGCTTATTGGACAATTCATTTTGGAGTTCTCACAGGCATCTTAAACTTAACATATCCAACATGGAATTCTCAATTTTTTTTTCTCACCCCAATTTAGTATGCCCACAGTGTCTTCAATTTTAGCAACTGGCATCTCTGTCTCTACCTAGTAGCTTATGGCCAGCTATCTCCAGAATCTGTACCCCTTTCCTCTCTACTGCCACCATTCTTATCCAAACCACCTTCTTCTCCTGCTTGGATTATAGTTATGAAATTCATTTAGGTCTCCAATCCTCTTTCTACAGGCAACTAAAATGAACTTTTAAGACTATAAAACCATAGATTCGATATGGATAAAATATATGAAAGAGCAGTTTTCAGACATTGGATAACAGGCAGTACAGGATGGTGATCCCTGAGAAAAGGGAAATAACATAAGGTGAGCTCCACCCACAATAACTTTGGCTTTCTGCCTGGAAGTACTTTCCAGACTAGGCATAAAGTTGTGGAGACCAAGCAATGCTTGGCAGTCTTGCTGAACTGAGGAGGCAGAGATCAGAGCTTAGGGCCACTGAGGCAACTGGAGTCTATGAGGCAGGATACTAGTGAGAGGGGATGTGCACATAGAAAGACCTTCAGAAATCCATATAAGGGTCCTATTAAATTATTAATCTTATGTTGAGCTGCACATGGCTAGGGTAAGACTCTGAGAGACCTGGTAGTGAATAGCTGCTAGGGAGCTGTGAACTGAAAGAAGATTACGGAGGTCACATTGTGCTGAGTGGTTTGATTTCCAAACAGCCAGAATGCAGAGACCTTACTGAACACCACAGATTCAGTTGAGACCCCAAGCCTTAGGAGTAAGACTATTCTAGATCTGTTGTAACAAAACTTAAAAAGAAGCCTCGAAAAGATCAGGCCGATTTGCCTATAAATTAACGACCTGCCTGAACAATGCGCAACAGTCTTTAAAGGAATATAACAAAATCCAGACTGAACAAAGTATCATCTATAACGTCCAGCATAAAATAAGAAATTACTAAACATGAGATTAAAAAAAGCAGTCAATAGAAACAGACCCAGAGATAACAGAGATGTTGGAATTAACAAAGACTTTAAAACAGCTAGTATAAATATGTTTAAAGCTTAAATAAAAGATGGACATAATGAGTGAACAGATGGGGAATCTCAGTAGAGAAATCGAAACTATTAAAAAGAACCAAATGAAATTCTAGAATTGAAAAAACGTAATATTTAAAATGAAAATTCAGTGGCAGGCTGATCAGTGAAATTGAAGAAAGGACAATAGATTCTATTTAAACTGGAACAAAAAGAAAAAAACTTCCCCATCTCAAAAAGAACAGAGTGACCTATGAGACAATATTCATCAGCCTAACATATATATATTGGAGTCCCAGAAGGAGAAGAGAGAGATATTGGGACAGAAAATATATTTGATGAAATAATGGCTGAAAATTTTCCAAATTTGATGAAAAATATCATCCTGCAGATCCATGAAACTAGCAAACCCAAACAGGATAAAGAAAATCACATGTAGGCACATTATAATCGATTTGATGAAAACCAAAGATAGAAGGAATTTTGAAAACAACCAGAGAGAAAGGCACATTGCATTCAGGGAACAATGGTAAGAATTACCTCTCATTTCTCATCAGAAGCATTGTAAGCCAGAAGACAAAAGAACAACATCTTCAAAATGCTGAAAGAAAAAACTGTCAACCTTTAATTCTACTCCACAACAATACTTTTAAAAATTAAGGTGAAATAAATTCATTTTCAGATAAGCAGAAGCTGAGAGAATGAGTCACTAGCAGACTTACACTACAAGAAACGTTAAAGTTATTTAGGCTGAAGGAAAATTGTAACAGATAGAAACCAGGATCAACACAAAGAATGAAGAGCACTGGAAATACGTGGGTGCGGAGTTGGGTATAGTCCACAAGACTGCCCTCACTTCTTGTGCCAGTTGCAGGTTTGACAGTTCACAAGACCATCCTGAGGTTTAATAATTCACTAGGAGGACTCATAAAAAACGAAAACCAAACCCATTGCTGTTGAATTGATTATAACTCAGCAACCCTATAGGACAGAGTAGAACTGCCCCATAGGGTTTCCAAGGCTGTAAATCTTTACAGAAGCAGATACTGCCACATCTTTTTCCCATGGAGCAGCTGGTGGGTTTTGGTTAGCAGTCGAGTGCTTAACCACTGTGCCACCAGGGCTCCTTAGAAGGTCTCGTAGAACTCACTAAATCATGATTACTGTTTATTACAGGGAAAGGATACAGATTAAAATCAGCCAAGGGAAAAGAAGCATGGGCAGAGTCCAGGAAAATGGCAAGCGCCAAGCTTCCAGTTTTCCATTCCTGGTGGAATCATGGATAGTAGTACTCTCCTGGTAATAGTGTGTAACAGTATGCATGGAGTATTGCCAACCAGAGAACCTCACCTGAGCCTTGGTGCCCAAAGTTTTTATTGGGGCTCCATCACATAGGCATGGCTGACTGCCAGCGTTGCTGATACCAGTTTCCAGCCCCTCTGGAGGTTAGAGGTTGAGCAAACTAAAGCTCCCACGGTAAATCACATTGTTAGACTGTTCTGTGACCCAAGGCCCCGAGGCAAACAAAAACACTTATATCAGGCATGACATTCCAAAGGTTCAGAGATTACTTTCCAGAAGCCCAGTGTGAAGACCGGACCTCTTTTTGAGCAAGATTAAATTCTTGACCATATAGTGGATGGAGCCCTGGTGGCACAGTGGTTAAGAGTTTGGCTACTAACCAAAAGTTCGGCAGTTTGAATCCACCAGCTGTTCCTTGGAAACCCTATGGGGCAGTTCTGCTCTGTCGTATAGGATCGCTATGAGTCAGAACTCAGTGGCGATAGGTTTGGATTTTTCTCGCAGTATGTGAATTTTATTAAGGAAGTCTTCCCTAACTTTGGCCTGAGACAATCACGTTCTGCCCCAGCTTGGGTTTACTTGTTCTTCCCATTCCTTTCTCCCAGGTGGACTGACTCAGGACCTGAAAGCTGCTTCTAACTGCTTTTTGATGGCCTGTAAGAAGCCAGGAAAGAAGTCTGTGGAGGCATGTCACAATGTTGGTCTCCTGGCACATGATGGACAGGTCAATGAGGATGGCCACCCTGACCTGGGAAAGGCCAGGGACTACTACACAAAGGCCTGTGATGGCAGCTATGCTGCCAGCTGCTTCAACCTCAGTGCCATGTTCCTCCAGGGTGCCCCTGGCTTCCCCAAGGACATGAACTTGGCGTGCAAGTACTCCATGAGAGCCTGTGACCTGGGCCATGTCTGGGCCTGCGCCAATGCTAGCCGCATGTACAGGTTGGGGGATGGTGTTGATAAGGATGAGGCGAAGGCCGAGGTGCTAAAAAATCGAGCCAAGCAGTTGCATAAAGAACAGCAGAAAAGTGTCCACCCCTTAACATTTGGGTAACGTGACCCACCCTCTGAGGCAACAAACAACTTGAGGCTAGTACCTCCTGTTTCTGAGAATCGATGCAGCCCTTGGAGGTCAACTTTTCTGGAGCAGAAAGACTTGGGACTTGCTGCTAGTTGCTCTTGTTACATAGAACCATTGCCCCAGAGTGTCACCTACTGGGATGCAGCCTCCACGTTCATTTCAGTCAGTATTCCTTCATCTGGGTGTGTTCTGTGAAGGCACCCGAATTTAGGGAGTCTTAGCTCTCAAACTCCTGCAGCTCTTTGAAAAATAGGAACAAGTTTGACGGCCATAGACACTTGTGGAGGGGAAAAAAAAAATAGGAGGAAGTTGGAGAAATAGAAGCCACAGGAATAATAATAATAAAGGAATCAGACATTATTATTACTACTACTATTTCAGTGGGGAGGACTTGAAAATTAGCAAGTGTCTTGATTTACATAATAGCTTAAGGAGCTAAGAACAGTTAAATAGTCACAACTGCCACCCTCTGACTTGCATTATCATTGATGTGGGCTTATTTTTGCCTTTAGAATAAGATCTTTAAATAAATTCATAGAGGTCAGGAGGTATGTGCAACACAAAGGTTAAAGGTTGTTAGGCTGCACGATTGCTAAACTGGATGAAAGATAAGCCTGCCTTCTGGAGACTTTCACAGTTAAAAATTAGCATCCCTAGTCCACTCACTTGGCACTCTTCATCATGCTAAGTGAGCAGATAAATATTCTCAAGGCAACTTCAGCTAGAAATCTGTAAGCAAGGACCTCGTGACACATTTTGTCCCCCGAATAAATTATTTTGATTTATTAGTAGTCTGTGTTCTTATTAGTGTTCTCTCATAGCCCAGGTAGGGTGGAGAGCTTGTTGTTCATGGTGGGTGTGCCTTTTAAGAACGTTTGCTTTTTCTCTTAGCTCCTTAGTTTGTCACTAGGGGGCGAGATTGTCACTTTCCTGCTAATAACAATACTGTTATTTCTGTCACCACCTACTGCTGGTGGCTTCCAGTTTTGCAGCTGTTGTAGGAAGAAGTCTTGCTGTGTGGATGAAGGTTTGTAAGCCCAGCCGGCCAGCTTCTCAAGTTGACAGAGAAGAGGGACTTTCCCAAGAGAAGAGTCTTTAAGAGGCATCAAGTTCATTTCAAAAATGTAAAGTAGCTTTTTGGTGTTCTTAAGATGAAAGGTTTGAGGTTTTGGGTTATAGATGTAATATGTTCTCATGAAATGCACTTCAGAATATAGAAGAAGAGAAAGAAGAAACAGTTACCCTTTGGTCGTCCTTCACCTTCCGACATTCTTTGGCCCGATGTTAGTGGTGTTTAGTCACTTTTTAAAAGTCACAACTTTTCAATTAAATAATGAATTTTGTAGTTCTGAAGAATTAAGTTAACCTGATTTTTGGACAGCAGGTGTGCTGGGGCTTTTTTTATAGACCAGTTCCTGCCTGGGACCCCTGGTGCCTCCCTTCCTTGGGTCACATACTGAAATGGGGCTGGGAACAATGAAGTGGGTATTAACTAACAAAATGTTGCCTTTCACAAAAGTTATTAAAAAAACAATATAATTTACTGTGATCCAGAGGGGTCCAAGGTCATTTCATACCCAGGTTGCTGTAGGAGGCAGTGGGTTGCTAAGAACCTGTGTGGAGGAGTTTCTCACTTTTGGACAACCTTTGAGGTAACGTTTGAAAATGGACTTTCAGACTCTGGTCACAGCAAGCAGTATCACTGTGTCTTCTGGCCAGCAGGCATTTAAATCATCATTGGTAACTATTTCCAGTGTTCTCCCTCCATGCCACGCTTGGGCTGGATACAGGAATTTCAGAGACGGCTTGGATAATCTAATGAGGAAGAAGTTTCATAATTGACTAGTGGCTTGTGTCCTCGTTAGTGTTCTCACTAAAGTTTTACAGGACAGTGATCAGTGCTGTGAGAGGGAAACGAGTTCCGGAGGGGCAGGAGAAGGCCAGAGGGTCTGGGGATTTGGATTTTTTCTTAAGGGTAGTGCAGAGTCACTAAAGGGTTTTGAGCAGGAGAATGAGATGATCACATTTGGAAATAGAAAGTTGACCCCAGTGTGGAAAATGAATTGGAAGAGGAAAGGCTAGAGTCAGGGAGAATAATTAGGAGATTGGTAATAAGGTTCAGGTGAGAAATGGTTGGACCTGCGGTAAGGCAGTGTCGGGCATGGAGAGGGAGAGGAGGTGAGAGATTGAAGCAGCTAAATGAGCAAAACTTAGCCATGTTGGAAGTGGGGGTGGGGAGAGGGTAGAGTCAAGCAGAGCAAGGTAAAAAACAGGTTTGTAGCTTGGGCAACTGGGTGGACAGAAGGAGCCGTTCACATTGATGTAGAGCCTGTAGGCTGGTAATGGGGACAAGAAATTTATTTGAGCTGTTCGGTGTTTTTTTTTTTTTTTTTAATTTAGAAATAACTTGCATTTTAGTTTGTTAAAATTTTATGAAATTGAATAATTAAATGTTGAATGTTTTGTTACCTATATATTTACTACAATTAAAATAATAAATTTTTAAAAAAATGTTTAGGAAATTACCTGGAAGATTTTGTGAAAGGCAGCGTGGCAGAGGGACAATGCCTAGACTTTGGACCCTGTGGTTGTGAGCAATTCTGGATTAGTCAAAAGGCAGATGAAGCATGTGTGTTGAGGGCACCTAACTAAGCATGAAAAAAAATAAAAAACAACAATTTTATATGTTTTAAAAGCATCAAGTATTCACTTCGGGGGAAAAAAAAGAAAACTGAAACATCTTTGACTTCCTAACACTCATTTTACAGTTAAGATCTCTTTTATTTTGAATTCTGCGTTAGGGCTGGAGACACCAGACTCTCCAATTCTTAGGTCCACAGGTCTTAACCTGGGTTCTGATCTGGATTTAACTTTTTTTTTTTTTAATTCTGATAAATACATAGGTAACGAAACATTTGCCATTTCAACAGTCTACACATACACAGTTCGGTGATATTGTTTATCACGTTGTTCAGTCATTACCATTAACTGTTCTTGAATTTTTCTGTCAAACTTAACAGAAGTTCAGTGTCCCCCAAGTGTTGTGTCTTCCTTTCCCCTCTCTCCTATCTGCCCCTGCTAACCACTAATAAACTTTGATCTCTATACACTTGCCCATTCTAGATATTTCATGTAAGTGGGATCATACAGTATTTATGCTTTTGTGACTGACCTGTTTCAGCATAATATTTTCAAGTTCATCCATGCTAGATTTGACCTGTTATTGGCTGTGTGACCTTGGACAAGTTAACTAACCTTCTGGACCTTGGTTTTGTCACCTCTCAGATGAGGGATAACAATGCCTTCTAATTGGGTTACTAAAAAACCAAAACCAAACCCATTGCCATCGAGTGATCCTGACTCATAGTGACCCTGTACTACGGTAGAACTGCCCCATAGGGTTTCCAAGGAGTGGCTGGTGGATTTGAACTCCCGACCTTTTGGTTAGCAGCTGAGCTCTTAACCACTGCACCACCAAATAGGGTTGTTGGGAGGGTTAAATAGTAGCTCTTACGATAATAAATGTTCCTTTATAAAAAAATTTTTTACAATTAGATAGTTATTTTCCTCTCCAAGTGGCATTGTCAGCTTGTGAAGCAGTCTAACTTTTAAGAGGCTGCCTTTCCTGCCATTCTTTTAATATTTTGAAAGCTGATGGTGAGGCTTGCTAGGGATATTCACACCACAAAACAGCTGCACGGGCAGGCCTGGTGGGCGACGGAGGATCTCGTATTTCCTACCTCCTCCCTTCACTGCTGCCCCAGTGGCGAGAAAGTCACTGAGAAGACTTGCACCTGCTGGGGGCCCAGAGCAGAAAATATTCCCAGCTGGTGCTCCTCCCCAGGCTTGAGGAATAGTGATTGTATTACAGCGTAATCAGGCCTCCCCACTGTCTAAAGGCCAAAATTCCTTGCCCAACATTCAGGTCTCCCCGTCTCCATGATATGGTCCCTGTCTCCATTTTTAGCCCTGTCTCATCACTCCTTGTTCCCAACTTGGGCTTCTGTAACACAGGACGGCTTGTAGCTCTGCACTGCCACCAAAAGCAAAACAGAACACAGTAACAGCAAAACACCCAGGCTGTTTGTTACTGCCATGCATTTGCTGATAGTGATTTGTCTGTCTGGAATTCCCTTCCCCAACTTTCACCTCATCTTTAAGACTCTAGGAAACCTTCCCTCAATCCCTGGTCTGGGGTAGAGGCTTTTTCTGTGACCACTCGCACTGAGTGGTCATCCATAATAGCACTAAGCACACTGTTACCTGTTTTTATGGTCTCCACTCCCCTTGAGATGGTGAGCTCCAGAAGAGCAGATGCTTGGTAGGCTTCATCTCTGCTCAGTGCCCAGAGCAAGGCTGGGCACGTACTAGGCCATCAGGGGCTGCTTGCTGAGATGCACAGCACAGAGTGGCGCCTTGGCTGCCTCCTGACAACCCTGAGACACCAGGCCAAGGCTCCTCTTCACATCCAAGAACCGGTGTAATCCACAGGTTGTACTGTTGTTGAAACTCCTTGTCTAAACCAGACGTAGCATGGCTTAGCACATGGTTGATCAGTGCTCTTCCTTGGGCTTTGTTCAGGGAGATTTTTTTTTTAAAGAAAAGGTATTTGAAATAATGAAGGAAAAGGACCTAGCACAATGCTGTCCTGGTAATCTAAAGTATGTGCTCAATAACTATCAGTGCTAAGAAACCAATATTACTAATTAACGCCCTCGTGGTTAAAGAATCACAAATCCAAACATGCCAGTTTTCTTGGGATACTGATAATTAATGGTCTCCTTTCATTATACTGTATTACAATGTTTTCATGTCTGTCTCCCTGATGAGTGTATTGTGTGTCGTCGAGTTGATTCCAACTCATAGCTACCTATAGGGCTCCACAAAGACAGTGACCAAGAACTTTCTCAAATGAAATCTGCCATGTTCTTCCCTCCTTGAATCCTTCAAAGATTTCTTGTCCCCTATAGCAGTGGTTCTCAAAGTGTGGACTTTGGGCCCCTCACTCCTCAATCCCCTCGGGAACTGCTTAAAATAGAGATTTGGGGCCCACTTTAGACCTACTAGGTGATAGTCTGAGTTTTAAATAAGCAAACCCCAAGAGATTCTTATGCATACTGAAATACGCGACCCCTTCAAGTAGTATAAAGTCCCAGCTCCTTAGCTTGACCTCACAACCCTTTGCAGTCTGTACTCCATATTTCATCTCCACATGGCAGTTCCACCAAAACATTCTGCTTGAAAGCCTACCCCCCTTGGCATGAGTATGGCCAACTTCTGATAGTTCTTCAAAACTTAG